TATTGTTATTATTTTGCTTTTTCACATGACCCCCCACATATGATAATAAGTCCCTGGATTTATTTATTTTTTACATTTCCAACAAACATGACTGATCATGAACCGCCTTGGGTCCTTTTTAAAGTGAAGGGCGGGGTAAAAATATTTTAAATTAAGATATAAACACAAACACACAAAACCAGTCCAAATCCTTCACTATTTTAGCGTGACATTTCATGGATTCCCAGACTGCACATGCGCAGCGCCTTCCCATCTACATCTAAGCCCCATAGAGTCCAAAGGTTTCAGGGATGAGAAGAAGAGAACATCCACCCCAACCTGCGGATTCCGCGCGACTGTGCCGAAACTCGATACGCCCCCTTTCACGCTTCCCCCTTTCCCTCCTTGACATTTGATTGGCTGAGCGGCATCGACGCCCCGCCTCACTTCCCACCTAGTGCTTGCTCCTCGCCGAATGCGAGCTGGCTTTCGTCGAAAGCCTGTCAGTCAATCAACCTCCGTCCCTCTCGCCCCCCCTCTGGCTCCGCCTCCTTCGCTGTCCTTCACGCCCCTCTCGCCCCGCGCTCCCTCCCTCCAATTCTCGCGCGAAGTGGCAACGACGGGCCCCTAAGCCAAGTCGTGGGCGGTGACGAAGAGAAGGCCGCTCTCCCGCACTGCCGCGTTGCACGCCGGGAGACGGAGCCGCGCTCTCTGCGCCCGAGCAGGAGGAGTCAAGATGGACGCGGGCTTCTTCCGCGTAAGTCCTGAGGCGGGCTGGGGAGGGACCGGCTGCGGGGCCGCCGCCGCGTCGTTTGGGGAGCGGTTACCTCAGGGAGAGCGGGAGGGCCCGTTCCCTTCCTCTTCAACGCCCTGAAGGACGGTTCTTCTCTGGTTTCTGCCTCGTCTCCCTGGCCCTGTGAGGAGCTGAGGCGGAGAAAATGGCGGCCGCTCCTCTCAGGCGCGCGGCAGAAACGGTGGGGGGGGGCGCGAGGAAGGAGATTTCGATGCTTTTCTCCTTTAACGCCACCCCGCCATCTGCTTTTTTTCTTCCCTTCTATGCTTTTTTATGATTTTGTGGCCTTTGGGTTGCCTTTTTCCTGACTTCGGTGACCCAAGTCCTCCGCTGAGGCGAAGGAGGAAGCGGAAGGCTCTCGGCCGGGGCCTTCCTTGGGTCGCTCTCCACGTGCCCCCTTTTTCTCTCCCCTCAGGTCGCGGCGGTTCATCTCTAGTCTTTTTGCCGCCAATTAGAGAGACGCCGATGAGGCAGACCTTGAAGGTGGCGCGTAGCTGGCGGTTTTTGTAGAGGGAATCAATCCGTTTAAGGCACAGCCTATACAGTTTAAGGGGGAAATTATGCACGTCCCCATTGGGTGAGGGGAAAATTACACCGAGTACAAGAGGAACCTTCTCCTGTCCATAATGCAGAGGTATAAAAAGAAAAGTTTGTTTGCAAAATGCCAGTTTTGTGGCTGGTTCTCTCTTCCACCGTTGCAACCGGTGTGTGAGGAAAAGCACTGGCTGGCCTTCATTCAGATCTAGATGCAAATCCACAACGTGTTTTTTTAAATTAAGAAAACTTTCTCTTTCGTATATCTGACCCAGTAGAACAAGTAAGCACATGAATATGTGCATGGACAGGGAATCTTTTTATTTTGGTGGAGGGGACTTCTTCAGTGTTAATTAGTAGTTGAAATAAGTTTGCAGGGAGGCAGGAGTCATATCCAGGAAGTACATTTCCATGGATTCATCTGTGCAGCCGGTTGCATTGCTGCTTGCACAGTTAGTTGGCTCAACAAGTTGCACCTTTAGACACGCGCTGCAAACAGTCTGGGCTTAACTCCCTGGGAGCCTCCATGGGCATCATTTTACACTACCCCAAGTGTAAAAGGATTTCAGCCAATGTAATTATATAAGTGGTGGTGCTTTGTAAATTAAGAAAAATTATACAACATGAAGAGAAGCCAGAATGCATCTATGAATTAAAAGGATGAAAAATAATAATGCTTTGAACCTTATTTCTGATATCCTTGCCCAAGAGGCCAGCCATTTATTTATTTATTTATTTATTTGATTTCTATCCCACCTATCTAGTCAATTAAGATTACTCTAACTCTAGGCGGCTTACAACAATATAGCAACAACAATATGGATTAAAAACAATTTTACAAGAGAAAAGTTGCAACAGATTGGGAGAGTGTTTTGGTGTTTTCAGCATACAGTGTGTTGATCTGTAGTAGTAAGCTGAGGTGGCCACAGAGAAAACTGAAATCAGGACCCCACCTTGAAAAATTCAGAAGTCAGTGGAATCTCACTTTCAGTTTTGGAGATTTATATTTTCTGTCCATGGGTGGTGTAGGTGAGCTTTGAGAGCTGTCTGAGAGGAGAATAGCAAATCCTGGAAATTTTCACAGTTTTTTGCGGAAAAAGAGGATTGGATGATATGTGCGGCACAAACAACTTTGGATGTTGCATGTGGCCGCCATGCTGTACAAAATTAGATCTCTGTACTTAGAAGTCTTTCTATTGAGGCTTTTTAGGCCTCAAAATACTGTACTATTTTAAGGGGTTTTTAATTTTTGTTTATGCATACAGCCTGATTGGCCATGCAGTAATAAAATATTTGTACTTTTGTCACATTGTATTAACTAGTTTACATTAATGTTGAGATGCTGTAGGTGATCAGATGATTCCCGGATAATTTTATCATAATCAAATGTTACACAGCATTGTAAACAAGAGTGCTCTACTGGTCTCCTTTTTAATTATATAATGAGGCCATTTGATAGCAGGGAAAAGAGTTATCACCCCTTGCTTTACCAATCCAGCTGAAAGCTCGAGGCACATGCCCTCTCCTGCTTCTCAACTCTGCTCAAAGAACTTTTTTCTTTTTTTCTCTCTTTCTAAACAAATCAAATGTTCTTCTGCCAGCTGTTTGTTTATGTAGTGACATATTTTTATGTAACTGTAAATACAACAATGTTTTACCAATTAGTAATGAGAAAGGTTTAAGGGCTGCCTTGTCTATTTCAAAGAACACTGCAGAGTAGAAGGCAAACTTACCATCATCACAAGCTCGAATCATAAGATTCTGAAGATCACAGTGTGCTTGACAACTCTTCACCCTTTGGATTCTTTGGAGTGACTTGTAGTTTGAGAAGGAATCCTGAATGTGCTCTAAGTTATATAGGAAGATGTTTCCTAAATCAGTTCTGCACAGGTCACAGAACTAAAGAAATTAGGAACACATCTCATTTTTTAGAGGAAACATATTATTACACATTTTTCAGCCTTGAATGCTCATAAGATTTTCAAGGATCTGGCTTTTCTAACTAGTTGGACAGTTGCGTGCAGGAGGGCAGTCTGATACATTATTATGTGACTGCATAATATTTTTTATCATAAAGAGATTCAGAGACGTGATATGGACCAGCATGGTACAAGTAGATATTGCCCAACAGGATGCTCCAAGATGGAGGACATAGTACATTTTCTAACAATGCCCTCTGCAGATTTGAGAGATCAGTATCTTAAACCTTTAACAACTGGGATCAAGAAAAACTCCCTTTTATGTACAGTTTTATTTTGCCTACCTGGCACAGACTGCTATATATCCTGGAGTATTGCTAAGTTTGTTAAATGAGCCATGGAAAAAGAACTCATTGCCGGTTCACAAGCACTTCAAGTTAATTTCACAACTCAATAATTGCTTGAGAATGCTTATTTTATTATGCTTTCATGACTCTTTATATGCATTTATATTAGATGTGAAATACTATTTTAAGAATGGTTTAATTACTGTTTATGCATATAGCCTGATTGGCCAGGAAACAAAGTGTTCGTACTTTTGTCACATTGTATTTACTAATTTACAATATTAGATTTGTATTAAAATGTCATCTCTGTATAGTTTTCAGAATCTATACATTTTCCTTCTGAAAAACTTTAAATGAGTGTCACCTTTTCTCACCAGAATGTTGTAGATCTTGACTACTTCTAATATTTTCTCTGTTAAGTATTTGTTTGTGAAATAAAAAGTAAAAGTAACATGTTACTCATATAATAACAATTTTGGGGGAAGTCAAACAAATAACAAGTTTTAAAATATCTAAGCTTTGCTACTTGTGTATATAAACTTTTGCAAGAATAAACCTTTGAAGCTCTTAGCAATGACACTCATTTAAAGTTTTTCAGAAGGAAAATGTATAGATTCTGAAAACTATGTGTTACAATGTTAAATTGCAACCACATATCCACTTAGGCAAATAATTAATCTTCTGCAGAGTTTTCAAGACATTTTACTGGTTACGGCATATAATATTGGTAATGATAAACTGCAATGGGACAGAAGGTCAGACATTTTATTTAGACTAAGTGTGGAACTGCTTGCCTCTTTTTGAATTACTCCATTTTATGTGCTCTTAGTTTAAACCTGCAGAAAGAGTAATTTTTTTTAACTGCAAAGTTAATGGACATCTTGTGTTGTAGATGCTATGTAGCTGAAGTTAATCCTCATATATCATTTTTATGAGTAGCATTTGTGTACTTGATGAGTAGACAAGAAAAGTTAGTACAACCAAATAAAAGGTTTATGTTAGTAAACATTTTCAGAAATTGTAAAACCAAAAAAACTACTGTGGTCTTCAGATAGTAAATTGTTTGCATTCTTATATCACGATTTGTCTTACCATAGTTTTCAGTTGATCCATTAAACATGAAACAAAAATACTATAGTAGTTGCAAGTAAAAGCATGGGAATACCCACCCACCCGATTCTTGACAGTGGAAACTGATCTTTCAGTTTGCTACTTTAATAGCTATATAATTTTAGGCACAGTGAGATAATTGTAAATTTTAGATTCCGTGTTGTTTCCATCACTGGCTATTGCATTGCTCAGTGCAGTGTAGTGCTTAAGATAATCAACAGCATTAGTGCCGTTGTACTTCAGAAGTCATATAAAACACAATTTAAATATTTTAAAAGATCTTGCCAGCATTAATTGGAGATTGCTTGGATGCTATCTACTGTGTGTCCTCCCTGCCCCCGGTGTTATCAGGCACCTTAGGCATATATTGGAGTTTAAAAGAAGTATTTTCAGACTTTAACAGAATGCCATCTGCTGTTGTTTCTGTGGACCTTAGTTTGTAGAAACCAAAATAGAAATATATTTGATGTAACGTAAGGTTTTTTTTTTGTTCTTTTAGGGAACAAGCGCGGAGCAGGACAACCGCTTCAGCAACAAGCAGAAGAAGTTACTAAAGCAGCTGAAGTTTGCAGAATGCCTAGAAAAGAAAGTATGTTCGATTGTGTAACATTTTGAGATTCCATTGAATTTTTAAACATTGCCTACGAACTACAGTTTAAATGGTGCCAAGTCTGTGCTTTGCTCTGTGTTTATATATGAAGCACTTTGCATGAGGCTCTTTGCAGTAGAGGTAGCAAAAGTATTGGTATATAACACTAATATGGAATTAAGTTAAACTCTGAGGCAGTGTCATTTTGCTACTGTTTAATTCAGCCAATCCATCAGACTATTGCAGAGAACTTCTGGGGTAGCCCTTGAAAGGATATGTCAGTTCACTTGGAAGGAAACATTTGAACTTCTGTTATAGTTTTCTGAGAATTGTTGACTGTTACTCTTGATATGGGTTTTCTGTAAAATATAGAATTGAAAATTTTTCCTGGTGCCTAAATAGAATGTGGCTTAATTCAGCACTGCACATGTAATTACTAACAAAAATGTGTTCAAGTATATGAACAGATATGTCTGCCGTAGTAGTTCCAGCGTCACACTACAGCTGGAAGAGGGGATACCTGGGTTTTGCTATCAAACCGGGTGGTTGCCCTGTCTTATGTCTGCCTTCCTCATAGGAGCCTTTAGGGTTTTGTTGTTCTTCTTGCCTTGTAAATGAATGGTTTACAATTCCTCAATGTGCTTCTGCTGATAGACAGGGAAGCCAGTATGCCATTCAGTACTATATAGCTATAACAATAGTTGAAGTCACTACAATTGTCCTGTGTCTAATCTCAACAGGGGAAAAAACCCACAGGTGGATATGAAATATAATCTCTGATACTTTTCTCTCATAATGCAGGTGGATATGAGCAAAGTAAACTTGGAAGTGATCAAGCCCTGGATAACAAAAAGAGTAACAGAAATCCTTGGATTTGAAGATGATGTAGTAATTGAATTTATATTCAACCAGTTGGAAGTGAAGGTAATGATTTTGCTGTGGTTGTAGACACATGTTTGTAAATGATTGCATAATTCTATGTAAACTGAAATATTTCTGTCAAAAACAGTTGATGAAATGAGGAGGGGCTTGTTACGATGTATATTGTGAATAAATTCACCTTGTAAAGCATTTTGTTAAGGTTGACACTTATAGAGAAGGTGCATAATTTGCAAAACTGCTCAGGTGAAAAATCAAACTTGCTGTGTTGATTTTGCTGTTACATGTTAAGCTACTTTGACAGCAATTTTCTAATGATAATGTGATTTATGATTTAAAAGGCCTGAACCAAAATGGAAGTTATTCCTTGCGTCTGAAGTATAGCACCATCACCTTATTAGGTCACAGCAGAGTGAGTGTCCAATGTCGCTCTGACCAACTCCCTTGATGATGCAGTGTGTGTTTGGAGGTGAGTTGTGTAAAGTGGCCGAACCAAAGTCAGACAAAGCGTCCCGCAGAAAGCAATTGGGCAAAAGCTTTACACTGCTCTTGAAATTGTTGTAAATTAAACCAAATTAAATGTAAAGCTTAAGGTGCAGTTCTAAATTGGTAAGAGACATTCAGCGGAGGCCTATTCAGTTTAGAGCTAAGGTTGTGTTTCGCTGGGATGGGGAGGGTTAGTTTATTTAAAACTACATGGTAATGTAGGTGGAAGGCATACAGGTGCGAACCACCTCCTGCTGAAATCAGGGGCAGCTTGCCTGTCCGATGCGAATGCAGCTGGATTACACCACTAAGTACAGCTGATTACTTACCAGTTATATAACATGAACTGCATAAGTGTAACTGAGTTTGTGAGAAACTCAGCCTTTTACACAGTTTGCCACTGCATCCCGAGAGACAGTAAAATGTTTTATTTGAACTGTTGGCAGAATGCTCTTGTGTTAATAAGGTTTATGCACAATTTCTCTTTCAAAGAATTCATCTTTATCATTTGACTGAACAGTTGACATTTCAACTGAGAAAGGTATTGCTGTTAAAAAGGAATTAAAAGGTCATACTATATTTTGGAATGTGAGGTCTTATTTTTCTAAACAGCCATAGTTGGACTATCTTATGTACTTGTGTAGAAATACAACTGGGGAGACAGCTTTAAGGGGTCAGTTAAATAAAGTGGATATTTATGCTAGTGTCTATTACTGCAATAACTTGCTAATATCTATTACTGCAATAAAACCTTAAATATGCAGTTTTAGTTCCCCTTCATAGAAAGCATGATTTAAACTTAAAACTTTTAAAACAATTTTTTTCCTTTTTGTGGTTGTGTACTCATTATTGCTTGTTCGTCTTTTGCAATTTAGATAAATGGTATAACATTAAACTCAAGGTGGTTGAGTTGCAGTAGGGAGTCGGAAGCAAGCCAAGGGAACATCTTTCTCTACAGGGGACTTGGCGATTCCAAACCCCCCCAAGTTCCAAGAAGAAACAGAAGACACCTGGAATCTGTACTTGCTTTGTGCTGTTGAGCTGTGCTTGTTATATGGACCTTGCTGCATTGACCAACAATGTTAGAACTATAATGCCCACCTTTACTGTGAGCCACACTTGACCTCTTAATCCTTTGTGGGCATTACATAATTCTCATAAGAAACTAATATGGCAGCTTTCATTCCATTAACCAGCTAGTGAAGGTTTAGACTAGTTTTCTGATGGAAGTAAGGAAATGCATGCATAAATTCTTGTTCAGTTTTCACAGCAGGACTTGAGGTGTATTTGTAGATTATGGTTCTGTAATGTTAAGTGTACAGCTTTTTTCCTTTGTATGGATCACAGTAAAAACAAAAGAAGAAGAAGAAAGATTATGAGCAGCCATACCAAAGAATGTTGGGGCAGAATGGTTAGAAAGTTAATTGTAAAGATACCTGTACCAACAATTGTAATGCTGCTGTACCAAATTCTTGGCCTCTGTTGTAGTTGCTGCACAGACCAAAATACTTATGAAATCCACAAAGGATTAACAGGCCATTTTGAATGCAGTGATAAGGCAAAAGAAAATTGGTATATCTTAGTTATATTACTGAGCAGTCTTTAAGGCAAGTTATATGAACTAGTAATGATTAATGACATATCCTAGACCCATGGTAGAAGATTAAGTCAAAATTAAAATGAATTATCTGAGTTTGTTTTTTCAAATAACCGGTATTTCTTCCTGTCATAATCTCTTTGCAGAATCCAGATTCCAAAATGATGCAAATCAACCTGACTGGGTTTTTGAATGGGAAGAATGCTAGGGAGTTCATGGGAGAACTGTGGCCGCTGCTGTTAAGTGCCCAAGAAAACATTGCTGGTATTCCATCTGCCTTCCTGGAGCTGAAGAAAGAAGAAATAAAACAGAGACAGGTACGACTAAGGAAACTGGTTGATCAGTTCAGATAATACCTAGTTTAAGTATAATTTTGCAAAATGATCTCAGGGAAACCACTGCTTCTACAGAATAATTTTCTGTGTCAAACATAGGGTTTGAGAGTGATTCATGTGGACATTGTTGATTCTGGTAAGTAACAGTAATACAAGAGTATGTGCTCAAAACTTCTTATTTGACACTGGTTAAGGAGGAGACTGTTGCTCTCTTTATTTTAGGGGGAAATGGTGAACAATTACTTTTGATAATGAGCAAAACAGCTTGTGAGCAGATGTGAACCGAAGGCATACTGTGTGTATGTACAAAAAGATAAGCCAAGTGCTTGATCGTATACCTAAAGGAATGGGGAGAAATGGTTCATTCTCTTGACATTCATGTCATGGCATAACGTATAGTAGACATTTGCCCTTTCTGAGCCTTTAGATTTGAAAATAGACACTTGGATGCAATTTGTGAACTTCTGTTAGTCACTGGTTAGCATCCATCAAAGTAATGTTGCAGAAGGCCTCCAGTGCTAATGTACCAATAAGAAATTTGCCCCATTCAGATGTCACTGTTGCCATGAATCTACTGGGAATCCTTAGGCAAGCCGTCTGTCAAGGTCAGACATATAATGTTCACCAAAAACTTAGAGAACTATGAAACTTTATAAGACTCTTCAATAGTTTTGAGTCTGTGGTCTGTCTGAGCTGATGTTTCTCCCTGAAGAATTTTTTTCACTGTGAGACCAGGTAATCTTTTTCAGTCATTTTGGTTGCTCACGGTAAAGGAAGTTCTGTAGATATTCTTTATCATAGACGCTTTCCAAGAAGATAATTTTTTTAGTTAACACTAGCTTGCGATTTCTACAACTTTATTTGTCTGTATTGCTTTTAACTTTCATATGCATGAAAAATACTTCAGAACTGTTGAAAACATGTAACCTGGAAGTAACAAGTACATTAGTTGATCTTAGGGGGGAAAAACACACCCACACTCCAGTATTAGCTTGCTAGGAAAGCAATTATTTTAACACTCTATACATACAAAATAACCAACCGTAACAGTTCCCTCTTACCCTTAGCCTGAAATGTGTAATGTGAGAATAATGCATACAAAATAACCAACCGTAACAGTTCCCTAATGTGTAATGTGAGAATAATGTTGGTTTACTTTGTGAGAGAAAGAATTGCAACAAGGTATCTAAACTCTATATAGCTACCTTGTTTCCCTGAAAATAAGACCTAAGCTGAAAATAAATATTTTCAATGTCTCTGGCTCTCTTTCTCCCACATATACTCAAGCTTTGAAGACTGCAGGCCCACAGCTGTAGATTTCATTCAGATTTCTATGTAGGGATGGGATGTTCACATTTTTGGACCACAGCACCCAGACGTCTGCTGAATTGTCCTAGCTACCCTGTTTCCCCTAATATAAGACCCTGTCTTGTTTTCAGGAAAGCATGGTATCTGTGTATGTTCTGTCTTAGTATGTAATTGAATGTATAGATTCAGCCTTTATTCCTCAGCCTATGCTTTAAGAGTTCAGAACAAATAAATCCTTGTTTCAGATTGAACAGGAAAAGCTGGCTTCTATGAAGAAACAAGATGAAGACAAGGATAAGAGAGACAAGGAAGATAAAGAGAACAGGGAAAAGAGGGACCGATCGCGAAGCCCTAGAAGGTATGATATTCCAGCAGTTGTCCACTACATGTTCTCAAACCACTGGTTTTTGTTTTAGAGCAGCTCTTTCAATGAACTTTATTTCAGAGTTTAACTGCTAATATTTGGTGTGTCTCATCTCTTCAAACCTTAATTTCAACAAGTCTTCCATTAAATTATTTCTCTGTTTCCAAGAGAGATTATGCTAAGGATTGTTTAAAATACCATAATAAACTGAGTACAGGTTTGTTTTTATCCTAGGCGCAAATCGAGGTCTCCTTCACCTAGGAGGCGCACCTCCCCAGCCAGGAAAGAGAGAAAACACAGCCATTCCCGATCTCCACATCATACGACAAAGAGTCGCAGTGCTACCCCTGCACCAGAAAAGCAAGAAGAGACTCCTGAGCCAGAGCCCTCTGTCAAAATCAAGGAAACACTCATCCAGGAGGCCACATCCACGAGGTACTATTACTGGCTGTGGCCTTTTTCTTCCCTTTGCTTCTTCAAGTTCGTGCTTGTTGTCACAGAGTTATAAGAGAATGTGGTTTGTATGCAAGCAGCTGTTTGGTCACGGGACCTTTGCTGTGGTACACTGTAATGGTGTGGTTTCAAATTTATGGTATAATTCAGGAAAATTCCCTATTAAATTGAAAAATAAAATTGTTGGCTTGTCATTCTGGTTCACTTTCATTGTCCCTTTGCCACAGCTAGCCTTCACTGGAACTAAGAGCCTACTCCATAAAACTTTTTACTGTGCATGGGAAACTGTCAGAATGAGGGATTTATTTAGCACTAGATACTGGCCAGTGATAGCTAGATTACATGGACAAGATGTGAAAATATCAGAATGAAAATGGGTCTCAGTGGTAACAGGCATTTTCTGTACAATAATTTACCAACAGATGTATTTGAGACATACAAATACATTTAATGAGTCTCTTCTTTACTGGCCATGTGGCTTGGATCTTGACTTAATGAACATAAAGGGCATGGGATGTGATTTTTTAAAAAAAACTGTTTTGTCTAATGTAGGGAGTCTCAAGTATGGCAGATGACAGCTCTTATGTAAAGACTTTTCTGATACTGTAATCCATGGTTTAATCTTAAGTGTTTATTTCAACAGTGATATCTTGAAGGCCCCTAAAGTTGAGCCCATGCCAGACACTAAGGAAATATCTCCAGAAAGAATTTCAAAGAAGGAAAGAGAGAAAGAAAAAGAGAAGCCTCGTGCAAGGTCTCCATCACGATCTAAGTCAAGGTCAAAATCTCGCTCACGTTCTCCGTCTCATTCAAGACCAAGGAGGCGTCATCGATCACGATCCAGGTGAGAGAAGCAAAACATTTTTTTTCTCTGTTTGACCCTGTGTGATTCTCCAGGTTCTAATCTGTTGGTAGAAGAATTACGAGTATGAAACCTTGTTAACCTATGATGTTTTTTCCCCAAGAAATCGTTTGTTAACCTTCATCTGTCATTCCCTTTCCACCTTTCCTTTTTATGCATGTACGTAATTGTGGAGCAATCTGGGATCATGCTGTACAAAGGCAGATCCCACTCTGCTGCACAGAAACATTTCCATCGTATATCTTGCTTGCTTCATAGATGTAGAATTCTATTCCCCTGGTGATTTTACAATAGCCTAGAATTGTAAAGCAGCAGCAAGTGGTAGATGAAGGTCTGAATTTTCAATAATTTTACCGAAAGGTCTTACACCCCAAGGAGGCGGCCTAGCCCAAGACGACGGCCATCTCCCCGGAGAAGAACCCCACCACGGCGCATTCCACCTCCACCAAGACATAGGAGGAGCAGATCTCCTGTGCGACGGTAAGAACCATGAATTTGCAAGCAAGAATCAGCAGAGTTTATAACGTTGAAAGTATCAGTGTTTTAACTACTTCAGCTTTCAAAATGCTTTCCCTGTTTTATTGGGGGATAGGGCAAAAGAATTTGCAATGGCTTCCTGCTTGGCTTTAAAAGTGGCCGTAAAACATATACATTTGAAGTTTTGAGTGGCGAACTTCTATGGAACTCCTGTACATTCACTGAGGATTCTGGTGTATGTTTGGGAAAACATCGTTTCTCATGGAAACTTTTCAGACTTTTCCCACTGAGAATGCATATGGCAAGGATCCATATGGCAAGAGAATGGGAAAATTTTCCCACTGAGAATGCATATGGCAAGGATGCTCTGTAGCATTGAAGAGAATGGGAAAAATGATGCTCCAAATTAGCTAATTCCGGCCTGTGTTCCTGACATCCTGATGCTTCTGAAATGGGTACAGTTTGTACACGCTGATGTACAGAGATTTGACTGCAGTTGAACAGTTCCTTGGAAAAATTACAAGATAGGGATAGTTTTATAGCTGTAATGACTCTGCTTCTAAGGAATATTGCTCAAGATAGAGTTTCCTTTTTTTCAGGTTCTCAGGAATTCTGCCACCAAAGGTGGAGTCAGCAGATATATGATAGCAACAGAACTGACCACAAATTGTGTTGCAGAATTCTAGAGTCCCTGTTTTAAGTGTAGTGTGATACATCAGTTTTGTTTCTTTCCAGCACTGGTGTCTTTTTTCCTTACTGTTTGGAAAATCTGCCATTTTAAAAATTTCCCTTGGATTGGGTTGTTCAGACATGTTTGCTGACTAGAATTGTTTCTTCAGTAAAAGCTGGATAGATTCAGCCCTCTAAATAGGTCACCGGTAGACCATCTAACTCTTAAATAGCCCCAGTACTTCCTCTTGCTAACATATAGGTTTAAAAGGTAAGGTAACATCAAGTGACGATGCGTCACAGTATCCTATAGGATGTGTTTGGAGATATAGTGGTAGAACCTGGTGAGTTTCTTAGTGAGAGATTCCAGGGCAACACGACTTTGATAAGCTTGCCTAGCCATGCTTCTCGTATGCTTGATAACCAATTTGAATTTTGCAGGAGGAGACGATCATCAGCCTCTTTGTCAGGAAGTAGTTCTTCTTCATCCTCCTCACGTTCCCGATCTCCACCAAAGAAGCCACCTAAGAGGGTTGTATCCAGCCCTCCTCGTAAAGTACGTAGGCTCTCGCCTTCCACAAGTCCTCCTAGGCGAAGACATCGACCTTCACCACCACTAAGTCCTCCCCCTAAACCACGCCGGTCCCCAACACCTCAGCCATCGAGTCGGGCAAGAAAAACCCGAGGCTCAGTTTCTCCCAGCAGAACCTCAGGTAAAATGTGAATGTGAAAATTCCTAAAGCTGCTCTCTTTTTGTGTTCGTATAGTTCTCAAGTAGCCCATGCCTGGAACGTTTCACATGTTTGTCCTGCCTAAGAGAACATGCTGGATATACCTTCTAATCACATGGATAAATTTGAAGTATTGTATATGCTTTACACGAGTATATAACGCTGTTGGAATTCCTAACATTTTACAGACAGAGTCTGGGTCTTCTTTTAAATGACTTTTTTAAATGGAATTCCCAGGGCACCTCTTCTTTCATGGCTAGGATCTCTCACACAAGTCATCCTGTGTAACCAAACTATACCGAGAAAGTCCACTGAATCAAGAGATCTCTTCCAAATGGCTTTTAGGAGAACTGCTCTGTTTTACTCTGCGTTAGAAGTCCAGAAAAGGATTTCAGGCAGAGGTGGTTAATATGCTGGCTGTATGCAGCTGACAGGGACCCAAACAGGCTCCATCACACCCTCCAAAAAGCATTTCAAAAGTGTCTTTGGCTCTCAAGGGCCCTTCCTTATTCTAAGAGGTGTCGGGATGCTTTTTTTTTTTTAAGGAACCCCTGCAGATATATCCCCCCACCCTCCATCCTACACCAAACAAATATATTTTTATATCTGGATGGTGCTCCCCTCAAGGAACCCCTGCAGATATATCCCCCCACCCCCCAACCTACACCAAACAAATATATCTGGATGGTGCTCCCCTCCAGTTTAGGGACCAAGTGCATAATTTGGGCATAGTTCTGGACCTGACTCTTTCTTTGGAGTCCCAGGTTGCAGCTGTGTCCAGATCATCCTTTAACTAGGAGTGTCACAACTGAGTTTGTAATTCCCCCTGATCTTTGTTGATTGGGCTACAGTTGTGGTGTTGGATGTAATGTATCTTAATTCAGATGCTTATCTTTTTCTATCAAAAAGACAACTTGTGGCACCAAGTTTTATTTGGTCAGAACTTTTGTTGCCTGTATTCATTCTATGTGCAGAAGTGGGCTGCAACTCATGAAGGCTTGTGCCGAAGTGTGTTAACTCAAATTGCAGCACAACAGACATGCTAGAGGCCTTGTTCTTTGCATGCAGTAACAGAAAACAGTTAAAAGTTTTTGGGTGTTCTCGTTTTTATCTTCGGAGTTATCCTGGTGCTTCAGGACAAACTGTATAGTGAATGCTCATCCTTATAGCAATCATGGCTTTGTGGGATACCTCAAGCTCTGAGAGGTAATGGACTAGTTCCGTGTTGTGCTTGTGGTTGCACTGGGGCTTTCTTTCCCCTCTTGAGGAAGAAAACATTGGGACGGTCAGCCCTCTGATGAGTTTTTGGGATGCCGGGAGGGCTGCCGAAAAGGAGGGTACCTTGTTAGCTTGCACTCATGAAAGCTGTTTCTGCTTGCCAAAGCACAGGCTTAAATTCTTGCCAGTGACTTACTTCTGCTTGATAATGTCATGATTGAATAGAGATTTGAATCTGAGTCGCCACTCTCAGTTTGAATATCTGTGCCAGGATGGTGATGTTCAAAGCAGGCTGGCGAGTTAAATTGCATCAGCACTGTGAAGAGCTATGTTTGAAAATCTGTTTGATATTCATTTTATTCCTTTCAGCTCCCAAACATAAAAGTATTGAAAAAAGGGAATCACCTTCTCCCGCACCAAAACCTAGAAAAGTAGAATTGTCAGAATCAGGTGAGCTTCTTATGTGTACTTTTATATCTTTTATACACAGGCGTTCTTGTACTGCAGTATTGTAAAAGGTTAGGAGGGAGTTGATACCTTGGTTTTTGAAAATTCATTCATAGCTATTGTTGCTTTGCATAATTTGTACCGGTTTTATGTGAAGATGCCCAAATTGATTAATAAAATGCTAATATTCCACTGTCCTTAACAAGAAGATAAAAGTAATTTAAATGGCATATAAAACACAACAATTAAGAGTGACGTGACAAAAAAGCAGCAAGATACAAGCTGCAAGAAAAGCCCACAATCCGTAGTCAGACTATCAGAATAAGTTGTTTTTAAAAGCACTGTGAAAGAACCACATCTTAACAAAAAGAAAACAAAGAAGGACCACTGAGAATATGTTCTGTGAATCTGCAATATGTTCCATATTCTTTCTGTTAATATGGAACAGCTTGTAAATATGATCCTTCAATTTTTTTTTATTAAATTTGCATGCTTTTCAGAAGAAGACAAAGGTGGTAAAATGGCAGCTGCCGATTCTGTGCAGCAAAGACGACAGTATAGAAGGCAGAACCAGCAGTCTTCATCTGGTATGATACTTTACAGTTTTGCAGCTGATCCTTTGTGTGTATATTTTGAAATAAGTTCCCTCCTTGTCCATTGGGAGGTCCTTCCCCACAAAATGCCCGACCACGCATTGGAGTTGTTGCATGTGACTTCTTTCAAATTTACAAATTGGCTGAGCTGCCTGGAAGGCGCTCTTGCCTTCTCTTCCTGTATTGTTCCCAAATTGTGCCTTCTGGAATTAGTTGCAAGAGTTCATAGAATCTCCAAAGGGCTTGGTTTTAGTCCTGAACGTTTTATGGTGGTCCTCTGTTGCTGAGGGAAGAAACCAGTTGGATGAAAAAGTAGCATCTGTGGATGAGAGAGAACTGCTTTAACCCTGTCTTTGATGCACAAGAATCACAGATGTACTATAGAACTATTAGCTTCTTAACTCACTGGTTCTTGAAAACATGAGGTGCACCTTGCTAGAGATGCATTTGAAGGGCCCGCAGACTGGACACTGTTCTTCACACCCCACTTTATAAGGTTCATTAGGTGGCTTATGCAGTCATTCGGCCTATACAGTGGTGCCCCGCATGATGACGATAATCCATCCCATAGAAATCGCTGTTTAGCGAAATTGTCGCAATGTGAAAACCCTTTCCCCATTGGAATGCATTGAAACCCAGTTTAATGCGTTCCAATTGGGAAAATACCTCGTCGTCCAGAGAAGATCACCGCCCATAGGGAAGCCATTTTGCAAGCGCCGATCAGCAGTAAGAATGGCTGCCCTGCGAAGCATGGTTCTGGAAATCGGCAAGCGCCGATCAGCAGTAAGAATGGCTGCCCTGCGAAGCATGGTTCTGGAAATGGCAATGCAGCCATTTTGCGAAGCCGACGATCAGCGGAAAAAAATGTCGTCTTGCGAACAAACGATTTGCAAAGCACGGACCTAATCAACGTCCAGCGAAGATCCCCCATTGGAGTGACTGTTTTGCGAATCGCTATAGCGATCGCAAAAAGTCATTCTTATGCGGATTCGTCATTTAGCGGGGTTGTTGTCTTGCGAGGTACCACTGTATTTCTTCCATGTTGCATTTATGGTCATGGCCAAAATAAAAACTGGTTGAGATTGGCTAGTTTATATGAAGCTCCCTTCCTTAAGAACTGTAGTTGGCACTTCCTTCCTCCTAAGGTGAGGAACTATTTCAATATCTGATTTACAGGGTTTTTTAAAAGCATTCTTATATTAGTTTTAAAATTTTATTGGGTTGTTTGAATCAGTTGTTCATTTTAAATTTTTGTATGGTGCCTTGGGGTCCCTACTAGGTGAGAAAGGTAGGATTTAAAAAAAATTAATAAAGTGTATGTGTGTGTGCATGCGAAAAACAGTCCCCTTGCACCTCTGGAAACCATTTAAAAAATCATTCTGGGCATGTCCTGAGAGGTCCTCAAAACATGGCATACTCCCACCCACCCCCTGTCATACAGTACTGGTCATTCTGTGCTAGTAAGCTATTTTCAAGCATTTGATCAAGAATGTTGTGGGGCATGAGATTCCTTGCACTGCCATCTAGAGAGGCTTAAAAATAGAACACATTGATTTCTGCTACTCAGCTTTGTTCACCAGACACAGTTACATAATTATTCAAATTGATTTGTAAAGCTCCTGTTATTTAATCATTATGGAAACTTGATTACTTTTTAATATTGATTTTCATTCTGGAAGCTCATTTCCCCAATGGCTTAGGGAAAAATTCTTTGAAAGGAGCATTACGTGTGAAAAATAACTATCTACCTTGGAAAGGGTTGTTTAAAAATAACATCATGGCTAACTGCTGTGCACTAAGCATTGCTATTGTGTTGCGCTTCAATAGCAATGTCTTCCATTTTGTTACAGATTCTGGTTCATCATCTTCCTCTGAAGAGGAACGGCCGAAAAAATCAAATGTAAAGAATGGTGAAGTGGGCAGACGCCGGCGGCACTCACATTCCCGCAGTCCCTCTCCATCTCCGCGGAAGTGGCAGAAAGAATCTTCTCCTCGGTAATGTCCTTTGGCTTTGTATCCATCAACAGGTGTTTGCCAGTAACTATGAAAAAGCTATTTTTTATGATCTTATTTCGCTGAGAGTGATGAGTGAGTGCCTTTGAACTGTTCTCAGTGAAAAATAACTTGCATTCATTTCAGATTGAAAGCCCACTATGTCAACTTTACGCTTGCATGTTTATTAGCTGCAGTTTCCCTGCTGTATTCTTTTGATTTACTCATATGCCTTCTGCTGATTTCAGTCATCAAATTTCATAGTGGGAGATTCTGTGGGCCAGCTTACAGAGATTGCTTTGTGGCAAATGCCTGCATCTCAGTGTCTTTCTACCTAATAATTCATCCTTGCAAGTAACTCTGTGGGATGTTTGATTTCTCGATTTTCCTCCCTCCACTGCTGTCAGGATGCAGATAGGAAAGAGGTGGCAGTCGCCAGTTACTAAAAGGTTAGTTAGCAGGTTACTTTGCTAATTAGGATTAAGTTGCAAAGCTCTTAGAAAAGACGGTCTTCCCGCTGTTTTAATCACAGCTGCCTTTTCTTTCCTCTTCCAACCATATAAAAAATAGAATGAAATAGGGAGATGGAGGAAAAGAAGGGGTTGAAAATTTTCTTGACTTTCTCCTAATCTGCTTTGCTCTTCTCTCCAGTTGTAGCTGTGAACAAAAAGAGGAGGGGAAAGGCGGCAGTAAAACAGTACAACAAACGAGACTGCTCATTTTTGAGCTAATTATGAAGACATGGTTAGAACAGTATATTTGAGCTGGTTTTTGTGCAGAATTGCGATATGGAAGCTTTTGCTTTTGGAACAAGGTGTTCATAATCTGGAGAAACTTTGTAAGCTGTCCTAGGCTCTTGGGCCAGCGTCCTGCAGGAGCTGCACAGTGTCAAGGAACAACTGAACGAGTTATCTAGGTTGCCCTCCATTGTGTTGCCCCAGCATTTTCTGATTAGTTGGTGATCTGGGCATGCAGCAGATGATTGGAGAGTAGTTACACGTTTGCCCTTATGTGTATGGTTATCTCAAGTAGGAATTTGGCCTTGGCTGGTGTTTATCCATCCATGCGCAATATTTGAGTCTGATGAGAGGATTCTTACCTTCAGTTGGGAGGCCGGAACAGGCACAGTTATGCCCATAAAGGGGGAATGGGAATTCTGCGGAGATGGATGGTTTCTGCAACTACCTGACCACAGCTGCCCAAAGGCTTTGAGGGAATAGAGCAGGCCAGTTTAACATTAGATTCTGTGCACATTGAGATGGGCCTGAGATGATCCATGAATTATCCATGCGGGAGAGATGGTCTGGTAGTGATAAGATAGGTATGCCATGTGGCTATCCAAAAGAGCCATAGTTTGTCCCCTTATTATCGCACTGTCATTTTGGTTACCCAGCTTGCTTGCCTGTGCCTCAGTTAGCCTCTTGAGCCCTGCCCACTTTTTTAACATTTCTTTTCTTGGTCACCCGAGTATGTTGTCATGTCTTTGAAACATTGCATTTTAATAATACGACTCTTGAGTTCAGTAGATTAGTGGAAATTATTGTAAAAGGATTCTTGCTGGAGGCTAGAATCTTGCTAACGGAAAGCCACTACGTAGGCTGCCCTACTCATGTTCACGTTGTTTTCTGAGTTTTTCCCTCTCCCGCTTTCTGTAGCAGGAGAAGGCGAAGTCCCTCGCCGCCACCAGCCCGAAGACGACGCTCCCCTTCTCCTGCCCCTCCTCCAAGGAGGCGTAGATCACCTTCACCACCACCCCGCCGAAGGTAACACTTTAACTCCTTCTCACTATCTTTTGTGGGACGCGCATCTTCTGGAAAGAGATGGTGTCGCCTAGAAAGGGGGCCTGTTATAAATGGGTTTGGTTTGGTATAAGCATGAGGATAATTTCATTATAAAATTATTTTTAAAGTGGTAGTTTTAATTACTGAAGTTTTTATAATGCTTTTTAAAAATCTTTGACTTTTATCAATAATTTGAAAAACTTAAAAAATAAAAATAAAACAGAAGATGTGTAAAAATCAAACAGAAAAAACTCCCCAAATAATTTTTATAAATAATATTAGACTATGTTCTCAAAAGGTTTATAAAGAATATTAGAATATGTTTCCAAGCATCTTTCAAAAATATTACATTTGTGGGCTACGTGACTTTCCTAATTCACTTAGACATTGGTACTTGTGCTTAACTTTCTGCTCACTAAGGGGTTGGTTGCTTTTACGAATAACCTTCCATTTTAAAATGTTTAACCCACCTCAAATTATTGATGAAATCAGTTGAATGGTCACCCATCCGACCCTTTTGTTTTTGTAAATATTTTCGGATGATGAAATCAGTTGAATGGTCACCCATCCGCCCCTTTTGTTTTTGTAAATATTTTCGGACACGACTAAACGAATAAACACACACACACACACACACACAAATATTTTCACCTGCTCCGTTGATCTTGTTTTTATTTCTTAGGTCCCCATCGCCGCCACCTCGCCGGCACTCTCCCACACCCAGGCGATATTCTCCTCCAATCCAGAGGAGATACTCACCATCCCCACCCCCAAAGAGACGAACAGCATCTCCCCCTCCCAAAAGAAGGGCATCGCCTTCTCCGCAGCCCAAGCCCAGAGTCTCCCGCTCTCCACCACCAAAGTCAAGGAGCTCCCCACCTGCGAAGAGACGTTCCCCATCGATATCTTCTAAGCACAGGAAAGGATCTCCCAGCAGGTCCAACCGTGAGGCCCGTTCTCCCCTGCAGAACAAACGACATTCACCTTCCCCACCGCCTCCAAGACCTTCCCATACCTCCGCCAGTCCCCCACTGATGTGCAGGGGGCTTTCGGCTTCCCCCCAGCGAAGACAGTCTCCATCTCCCAGCACGAGGCCCATCAGGAGAGTCTCAAGGACCCCAGAGCCCAAAAAGCCGAAAAAGTAAGTGAGCCGTTGCTTGCCTTCATTCGGTATTCAGTCGAACATGTAAAGGTGGATATTCCTCGCCACTTACTCAAGTTTCAGATAGTTCTGCAGCTGTGATGAAGATGGAAGTCGAGTTTTAGTTTGAAATGCCTCAAATGTTTATTTTGCACGTTCACATATGGGTAGTTCTCCTAAGGATGACAGCAGCTGCATTTCCAAGGCCCTATTTGTCCCTAGGACCTGCAAACTGTTTTATAGTCAGCTGAAAATATCCTTCCTCTTTTTTCTTCTTCTCTGAAGGGCTTCTCCTCCAAGTCCACCTTCTGTGAGAAGGAGATCTTCCTCCCGATCAGCTTCAGGGTCACCTGAGCCGCCCCCCAAGAAGCATGCAGCTCCTCCATCCCCTGCTCGGTCTGGATCTCCTGCTCACTGGTCACCACCAGCAGCTGCAAAGAAGGCTAAAAGCCCCACACCGAGCCCATCCCCAGTAAGGGTGAGTGTCTTCTAATGTAATGTAGCAGCTACCTCGCTGTTTATGAGCTTGATTTTCATGAACCTTTCTGCTCTTCTGAATTGGACTGGAAAGCAAATGCAGTTCTGATCTCTTCACATTTGATCATTTATAAAGGGGTACCTGCTTATGATGAGCCAGCTTTTGTATCAATCGGGGGAACTGTGGTGTTTGTTCTGTATGAAGAAGCAGGCTTTACCTGGGAATATGAATGCTTTCTGTAGTGTTAGTTTTTTGCCGTTATTGAAATAACAGATATTTTAAAAGTAAATGCGCTGCTTGACTTCACAGCAGTCTGATCAGGAAGGAGGGGGCAAGAAGAAGAAGAAGAAGAAGGATAAGAAGCATAAAAAGGATAAAAAGCACAAGAAGCACAAGAAGCATAAGAAAGAGAAGGCTGCAGGAGCCGCAGCCCCAGCTCCCTTTGCTACAACTGTTGAAGAACAAGAGAAAAATACAGAGCCGAAAAAGGTAGGTACTGTTTATTTGCCCAGTCTGTATTTGTAAGCTGTTTTTTCTATTAAATGGCATGGGGTGGAGTACTTTCATTTTTATAGATAATAGGGTTCAGGGAAAAAGTTACAAAGACCGAGGAAGAGTTTTCCCTCCTAATGTTAAAATCCAGGATCCTGCACTGAAGCTGAAAGGTGGGAGATTCTGAACAGATCCAAGAAGGCCATTCTTTACAAAGGGCACAGTGAATCCCCGGGATTTGCTCCCATGGCACGTGATGCCTGACGGGTTTAAGAGGAAGCTGAACATATTAGTGGAGGGCGGGACTCTCGAACACGACAGGTGCCAGTCAGTGGCCGTTTGCCTGCCTTGCCCGCCATTCGGCTTCAGTGGATGACCTGAGGCTGTAATATGGGGAGGGAGACCTTCCTCGGCCCCCACCTGCTTTCCCTCCACCAAGCAGAGTTTTCTGCATAAGAGTTCCTGTGGAGGCCAAGGCGTTAGTCCCATCCCATTCCCATCCTGGCTGTGGGCTTCCCGCAGGCGTCTCGTTGGTCTCTTTGTCAAGTGGGGAGATCCAGCAGGACGTCTTGAAGAAGTCTAAAATGCTGGTCACGAGAATTGAAGAAAGGACTCTGTTGGTTCCTCCCACCAGGCAAAGTATAGTGTGTCTCTCAGAACTGAAGAATGAGGTGTTTCCTCCTTGGTGGTGGGCACAAAAGGGAGGAAGCCTCCCTAAAGAGGAGAGGGGTGCTCGAATCCTGGCTGGCTCCCGACATGTGCAGTTGGATTCTCTCCCGCGTGACTTGAGGATTTAGGCCAGGATAGTTTGGTTTTGAAAGCCCTTGCTCCAATGTGATTATTGCCAAATTCTGCTGCAAGAGGAACATAGAATCCGTGTAAAATATATGTTTTAATTTCTGGAATCAAAGATTTCTCATGCTAGTAATGCTGGTAGGCTTCCTGTATGGTTAGACGATTTATTTTATGGATATTTTTGATCTGTGAAATTCAATTCAGGTTCATATTCTATGATTATAAAAGTAATTGTTCATTTTCCTCTGCATGAAGGAGACTGAAAGTGAAGCGGAGGATAACCTGGATGATTTGGAGAAACATCTGCGTGAGAAGGCTCTGAGGTCGATGAGGAAGGCTCAAGTGTCTCCACCATCTTAGGCTGAAGCAGCACTTGATATAATGTACATTTTATTTGGTTTATATTCAGACTTCAGTTTCAAATTGCTAAAGTGTGTTTGAGCTTTAGACTTTAACATTGGTTATAATACTTGCTAGGTTGAAGTTCACCATGTTTAAAGAAGGATATAGATCTTCATTACTGAAAAAAAAAACATTCACAGTGTGCTCGTGACCTCCTATGACAGTACGGGGAAACCACTGGTCATTTATGGAAGAAATTACATAGGAGTACTTGGAAATGCTCAAAATTTTCAGTGTTTATCTGTATTATCTTTTTAAAAAGACCGAGATCAGCCATTTTATGATGGTGCTTCCATCATCATCTCTCACTTGTCCCAACACAGTGAGTGGATTCATAGTAGTGTAATGGGTCTACTTGGAACACTGGAATTTTAATTTTGACTTTAATTCTCTCCTGCCTCCCTCTTTATTTTTTCAAAAAGGATGTTCCCCTGATCAACATTCTCGGAAGAATTTGACCTTTGTTTTTGTTCTGTGAAATGATGTTGTTGCCCCATTCATAGTCTCTTTTTTTCTTTCTTTCTTGTTGCAGTCCTTTGGAATAGTGTGTAACTTTCGGAGTTATCATCTCTGAAAGATGAAGGACCTGAATTTTGGATATTGTCATGTTCTCACTGGGTTTTTGGTTTTTTTTTTTTTTAAACTAAAGCTATTACAAAGCTTGTGGATTAAACAAAATAAATTTTTAAATTTAAACGTGTCTTTTTTATTCTTATCTCTATCTTTCCCTTCTCTCCTACATTTCAATTAAATAGGATTATTTTGTGATTATTAAGAGCAGGAAGTCGCATAGAGGCCCTTTTCTGACATGATGATCTGTGTGCTGGTTCAGAGGTGTAGATTACTTCTGCAGTGTAGAGTTGCTTGATGGACAGGAAGTCCCTTCTTATCAGAGGAGTACCTTTACGCAGACAATACCTTAATGTACAAATGCATTTTTTTGTACGGAGGCTTTTGCATTGCAGAATCAACAGGAGTAGAAATACCTAGTTTATTTTTAAATTTAGCTGGCGAGTGAAAATTACTGGAGGGGATAGTTTTTCAGTTACCTTTTGCTAGGGCCAGAGAGCAGTGGAGGTAACTGAAAATCTGGGCAGCTGATCAGGAGAGACCCGCCTTGCCCTGCTGAGTCTCCTCCAAAAGGCTGTCACCCCACTGACCGCTCCCTGTTTTCTCCCATCATAAATGGCCAGGCCCTTCACCCAGAAATAATTGGCTGGATACAACTTTTTCTTGTAAATCAGGAAGCCCTTCCAGCTCCAGAGGGCAGGGAACCCCTCCCTCTCCACCAGGGCAGCCCTCTGAGGTTGCCCTCCCCGGCCCCTAGTTCCTAGAGTCTCCCAAAACCAGCCTTGGGTGGCTGACCTCTCGCCATCCCCACTTTCCCTTTCAGGAATCCGAGGCCTACCATGTGTTTCTCAGCAATATTTAAAGTGAAACTAGTGACTAGCCTAGACTAGCCATGTGTTTTCAGCAGTATGGAAAGTGGAATACCTGCGTGATTGCCTCCACGGTGTAATCACATCACAGACAAGAAAAGGGGGAGTGACTGCGAAGCAGGCCTCTGATTCTCTCCTGCAGTCTGAGGTGCTATCTCTCCCTTCCCCTTCTGCCTTCTTCAGGCAGATGACTTAAGGCCTGGATTCAAAAGAAAATCAGCTTTCCCTGCAGGTCCAAACAAGACCTTGAGGAGAGGCAGTTCACTCTCCTTATATCATGAAGCTTCTTCCTCGATTTTCAAGGCAATTTTAGCTTCCTCTATGATGCGCACAGCTGCTTTCTTATGGGCCAGAGGATCGCTTCCATTCATTTGCCGGATGAGGGCTAAGATCAATCATGGGATTCGGAAGATGGAAAGAGCCTCTGTGATTGCCAGAGAAGCATCCCTGGCCCACTTTCCCTTTCAGGAATCCGAGGCCTTCCATGGGTTTCTCAGCAATACTGAAAGTGAAACTAGTGACTGGCCTAGACTAGCCATGTGCTTTCAGCAGTATGGAAAGCCGAATACCTGCTTGATTGCCTCCAGGGTGTAATCACATCACAGACATGAAAAGGGGGAGTGACTGGGAAGCAGGCCTCTGAGAAGCATCCCTGAATGTAATCCAGTTTGATGCTTGGAGTCCAGTTGCAACAGTGCTAGTTGGAAGACAAATTTATTTTATTTATTTATTGCATTTATACCCCACCTATCTAGTCAAACGACTACTCTAAGCAGCTACCAACATATCTAACCATATATAAATATAACCAAATGTTTAAACATCAATAGGTGGGTTATTCAAGATGAAAAATGGGGAAAAAGAAAAATATAAAAAGGGAGTCCAGTTGCAACAGTGCTAGTTGGAAGACAAATTTATTTTATTTATTTATTGCATTTATACCCCACCTATCTAGTCAAACGACTACTCTAAGCAGCTACCAACATATCTAACCATATATAAATATAACCAAATGTTTAAACATCAATAGGTGGGTTATTCAAGATGAAAAATGGGGAAAAAGAAAAATATAAAAAGAAAAGAAATCAAGCATTAACTGGAGGGAAGGCCTGCATAAACATCCAAGTTTTCAGTTGGTTTTTTTAAAGATGCCCAGTGAATCTCGGGAGGAAGGTTATTCCAGAAGTGCGGAGCTACCGCTGAGAAGGCCCAGTTTCTTGTTTTTTCCTTCCGGTTCTCCCTCGGCGTCAGGTTCCTCAGCCTCACCTCCTGACAGATGTGGTTGAAACATTGGCTGGCTGACTAGGGCAAATAATAATGAGGATAATGACCGCCTTGCATCTTTTTAACAGGGAGAAATTATTTTTGGAATCTGGACCCAATCTTGATGGAAACCAAGGTGGTTTTTTGTGTTAAGCTCTTCTGCATTTAGGAGAAAGGAGCAAAAAGTCACTTTTCCCTTCAGCTTTTTTTAATTATTATTATTTTACTATAACAGAACATCACCGGACCATCTCACCACCATTGGGGAGAGAACATATTGTTCCCACAACCCTTTCAGGATCACAGGCTGGCCCACAAGAGCCCCAGTGCAAACTGTCCTCACCCTGATTCTAGATTCCCACAAGTGGAGAAGGCAGACTGTGGCACATCCAGGCGCATGGAACACCCGCTTCAGAGTTCAGTGGGTGCTGTTGAAAATTGAGGGTGTTACAAGATGGGAATTGACAATATTCTACCCCCCTCAAGAATTTTCCCATGCAATTTCCAGGGCCAAGGAATATGGAGAAAAACACCATTATATTCTCCAGGCCATTTCTCACCTTCTAGAGAAAGGGGGTCATAGAATGAGCATCATCTGCTCAAAAATTCTTACGACTGCTTCTCCGTATTGTTTACGGTGGCCAAGAGAACAGGATCTCCAGGTCATTTTGGGCTTGGAAAAAGGTAACAGGTATGCCAGGGAGCACAGATTCAGGGTGGAGACAGTTCCCTGGAACGTCTTCAAGCAAGATGGTTTTCTGGCTTCTCTCGTCCTCCCCAAAGCATACTTGCATATATCTATTCAAATCACCGCCAGTTTTGTCCAGCAAGCTTAGTATACTTGAGGACCCATAAAATACCTACTGTATTTTTCTTCCCATGTGGATGATCTTCCAATTTGGCCACGATTAGAGAATCAGGATGGGCAGACCATGGTGCACATGTTTTAGACATGTGTTGTGTTTTGTTTTGTTGTTGTTGTCAGTCTTGGGAAAAAACACTTATTCTCCTGTTAGATAAGAACACCTGGATGTCCCCATAGACACAAACAAAGGCAAGCTTTTTCTCCCCGGTAGCACGATGAAAAAGGTGCAATCCATTCTTCTGAATGTACTACAAAGTCCTAACTCCGATGTCATGATTCTATCGTAGGTCTTGGCATGATTATTTCCACAACGGACGATGTGTCCAATGCAGGTTTCTCTCCAGAGTTCTTCAGATGGCTAGACCCCTCCGCTGACACGGTCAGGCTCGGTTCTCCAGCCTTGACTGTGTCTACAGT